TTTGACTGTCAAATTTCCTGATGATGGTATCCAGGAAGGTGTTCTGCGGAGCCACATGGCCCCTCCGGACTGGCATCTTCGCTGCAGTGGCCCCTGGACTGCGAAAGACTTTGCGGGACTTTGAATAATATCACAGCGAGAGCGCAGTTCTCCAATCTCCGCAGCCGGGCGCACGACGCTCACGGCGCTCCCGGCATGGACGCTACAGCGCCAGGCTCAATCCGGGGGCCAAAGTTTTCCCAAGTTTGGCCGCAGAGAAAGTGAAATCTCTTTCCACGAGAAAGTGAGGAAGAGGAGAGTTCTGGAAAAGGAGGCGCGCTGTAGGATCTGAGCCGTTTTTTGCCCTCCAGTTTCCAGCCTGAGAGGCGCGAGCGTGTCTGCTTGTGTCCCCCGAGGGGAGGGCCGCCTGTCAGGTGATGTTCCTCCTGCTCTCACACTCGCTGGAGCGCGGGGGACCACTCATCCTGCACTACAACCCGCTCCCGTGAAGCGAGCTTTCCGACGAACCTCTGTGGAGCCATGGCTCTGGCGCTGAGCTGCGCGTCTTTATTCCTCTCTTATTCCACCTCCTCCTCTTCGCCACCTGAAGCTCAGCGCGTTTCACTGGGGAGGAAATGAAGAACACCGGATTGGTTACATGAAAACAGCAGAGCTCAAGAACAGCAGCCCGAAGCGTCCTAGATCAGTGTTTTTTTAGGAGGTGTTGACTGTATCTCTCTCCTCCATCTCGCTGTGCGCTCTGCCAGATGACTTCAGCTCCACTGGCTTCTAACTGCGTCTCTTTTTAACCCTTTGCGCATCAGGAGCGAGATAGCCAACCTTTGATGGGTGGAGGAGAAGGAGCGCGCTCTCGGCCATCCCTGCTCTCCTCACCCCAGAAAAAAACTGCTTATTACACCTCCAAGAGCTTTGCAGTTTGGGGATTTTGGTCGCTGAAAATGTGGCCCAGATATCATTAAAGAGCACTGCAACTGATTTAAATGCCTCAAAACAAGATCATTTGTCACAAAGATGATGTTGTAATGAATGTGTGGTGCAGGTGATGGTGGATACGAGCTCTGAAAGGCTGCCGTTGTTAACAGGTGTTCGGCTTTGTGCTGCATTACCTGTCCTCAGCAGCTATGGGAGGGATTCAGTTTACATCCACGCCCTTCTGCCCGCTCCTGTGCTGCTTGTCTCTGTGCAACAAAAGACTCCATCCATACCTCACAAAGGAACATTCACCTGCGCCAAAGTGAAGCGTGTCTCTCTGCCTGAGCTGATCCTGAATCAGCGAGTTTGCCGTGGATAACGAAAGGCCGTTTAAAACGCGTTGCTGGTGCTTCTTTATTGTGCTTCAGGGAGGGTCGGATGGGGATTCACCACTCAGCCTGCTCAGCTACGTCACAAGGGTTCCCCCCTTCCGTCAACCTGGGGATGATGCCTTCACGGAGCGTCGGGTATTGCGGATCTAGCGGATGGATTGAAACCCAGTCCTGCTCTTCCGCTCTATTTTAGCCTTACATGTAATATCTTTAAATATGTGAATGTTCTCCAAACATTAAGAACGCGTAACGTGTCATTAATTTAGACTGTTAGCTAAAAAGGACAAAATTGTATGTCGGAAATGAAACCACATACTGTCATGGTACACAACAGTACAATCTAATTACACAAAATGATGATGATGATGATTATTGTTATTATTATGTTGTCACAAGTTAATTATTTAACTGACAAGCTCGTTTTCTTGTGATAAACGGTTGGTAGTATATATATTGTCATTGTGGGGGAAATGAAACAGAAATGCTGATTATGTCCCAAAGATGAGATCGGATGAAATTCTCGTCATTTTGTATTAAAATGCAGCCGCGTGTGCGCTGCTGTCAAAGCCACTGGGAGCAAGAGTAGTTTGTGAGCTGCTGGGGACACTAACGAGGTGAAATTACGATGACCTTGTTTGAAGCATCGTTTCAATTTAGCTGTGAGGTATTAATTTTCCGACTGGCATTGAAGGCATCAGCAGACAAAGCGTTTTCCTGAATCCCTTGAAGTCCATTGGAACCGGACTGCAGCCGGTTCACCTGTGATGGGCTCCGACTGAGGAAAACGTCCTTGTTTTCAGCAGCGCCAAGCAAAGGCCTGAAGCCCCTCTGCTGCTCCGTGGAAGCATTTATCAAAAATGTCCTGCACAGCTCCATAAGGCGTCCCCCCCCTTTTTTTCCTCAGCATCATATTTTTAATGATTAGTCACACGTGATAAATTGCAGCCCTGCAGCTGGACGAAGACTATCGATCAAAACGTGAGTCTTTGGCATGAATTAAAAATGCAGCGGTTACTGCTCTTATTACTTCCAGCAGTATTTACTGAAGCAGCTGAAAGCCAGAGGAGGCGTGCTGGTCAGCCTTCCCCTCAAAACTCCCTTATTTAGTCAAGAAAAGAGAGGACGAGGAGAGGAAGAAAGGAGGGGACCGAGGAGGCAAGAAGGGGATGATGAGAGAGGAAAATCAATATGTAACTAAAGTTCATTGATGAATTCCTAATGTGTGCGCACCTTACATTATATTGGATAAACGACTGAAATAAATAAAGAGAACAAACTCCGGGCGTCACTTTGACACATCCATTAAAAGCTACATCTCCTTACAGCCGTGGCTAAACAGCTCCGCAGTAAATGAAACTGTCAGCAGAAACGGTGTTTTTCACACCGCCAGTTGTGTTAGACGTAGAAGCTGCAGGCAGCAGGTTTTATGAAGTAACCAAGAGAAACGCAGAGAGATGGATGATGGGTTTTAAATCATGTATAATCTTACTGTCTTTGCATTCCCCATAACAGACCCGGTGACACAGGAGACGAGCTCATCTGTGGGGAAATGAGCACATTATTTTAAAAAGGACTTGAACGCTAAATCTAACGAAGGCTTGCGTTACAGCCAGGAGGCTGTCAGGACAGCAACGCTCTTTGATGCAAACCGAAGGAAAAGGGAAACGAACAGCAGCATGTTTGTGGCGTGCACAGCTCGTTTGCTGCAGATATTTATCTGGAAGCTTCTGCGATTGTACTTACATCCTTTAGATGTTAAGTTTACTGAAGTGTGCAAGTAAAGCTGCTTAATTCTCTGGATTAGAACATTGTGATTACTCTCAGTGTATTAAACTGCTATTATTATTATTATTATTATTATTATTATTATTATTATTGTTATTATTATTATTATTATTATTATTATTATTATTATTATTAATATTATTATTATTATTATTAATATTATTATTATTGTTGTTATTATTATTATTATGTTGTTATTATTATTATTATTATTATTATTATTATTATTATTATTATTGTTATTATTATTATTATTATTATTATTATTATTATTATTATTATTATTATTATTATTATTATTATTGTTATTATTATTATTAATTTTATTATTATTATTGTTGTATTATTATTATATTATATTATTATTATTATTATTTATTATTATTGTCATTATTATTATTATTATTATTATTATTATTATTAATATTGATTATTATATTATTCATCATATATTATTATATTAATGTTAATTATTTTATTATTATTTATTATTATTATTATTATGTTATTATTATTATTATTATTATTATTATTATTGTTATTATTATTATTATTATTATTATTATTATTATTGTTATTATTATTATTATTAATAATAATAATAATAAAAAGCACATCAGCATAATTTGAATGTATGAAGGAAATCTGTCGGTGATCTCAGCCCTGAAATTGATCATAAATCAATCTTATAATCTTTTATCTTATAAACTTTTAATGGCACTTTTATTAACGTGGTGCTTTCCACGTCCCACAGAGCAACGAAGCATGTGCTGCTGCAACACTGCTTAAAACAGAAAAGGATTCCTCAAAGACAGACAGCTGACCTGCTGTCCATTTATTGACCAGCCCGTCAGCACTGCACTGTAAACATGGGAATATAACCCAGACTAGTAGCTGTTCAGTTCAGTAGCTGCTACGTGTGCATACACAAACATACACATGAAACATGTTTTAATGCAGTAGAACTTGTATCATAGGATCTTTAATCTGTAAATACACAGTAGAATGTACAGGCTGCAGAATATGTAAGAAATATACGATCAGCAGTAAGATCCAGTCATTTGGTGACTGAGCACTACAGAGCACTGTGTTTATCAGCAGGGACTTTTTCCACTCATCCATCCATCCACCCAGAATCCTCCATCTATCACCCAGCTGGCTTTTAGCGAGGTGCTCCTTGGTGCTTTGGACTTCACACTGTTCCCTCTGCGGTGCGTTCGCAGACGCGTCCAACAGACTCGCTCAGCGCCGGGACAGATCGCCTCCTGCGGAGAAAGGAAACAGTGAGCCGGTGTCGCATCTTCACCGCTACTCCGTCAAAGAACTGAACACGTTCAGCAAACAGAAAACTGCTTCCTGTACAGGATGACAGATTGAGACCCAGTGTGTGCAAAGACTTCTGGCTCAATTCTGAAATGAGCCTGATGAAACTGAACTCTATTAAAACAGGTGCAATGTAGATGCAGATGTGTAGGAACGATGTTATATGGATTCATAGGCGCGCGTCTGTGCGTGTGTGTTATTATCAAAGATTGATCGCACCATCGGCCAAAGCCATCAGATGTAATGTCCACGGAGGAGCAGCACTGGGGGTCGTATGTGGCTCCATCCAATTAACTGAGGCGATCAGCCATGCTGATGAATGGAGTACAGCATAATTGCTTCAGAGGTGGGACCCTTCATTAAATCATTTATGACGGGCAAAGGTGAGCATATGTGTGTGTGTGTGTAAATCTGCAGGAATGCTCGTGTCAGTGACCACACGCTTGTGGTTCAGCCTGGTGGTAATAAAAACAACTGTGACATGAAGGCTGAGTCTTTGAATTGGATATGTTCTTCCCATTTCCAGCCCTGTACTTTCATTCTTGGACTTTTGCTTTCTGATTGGCTGCTTTCTGCAAACGGAAGGTTAGAGCAGCACTTTCACTTTGGCTCTGTTTCTGTTTCTTTCCACAGCAGTGCATGCTCCTCACTGAACAAGAGTGAGGTGGTTTCTTAAAATGTACAATGTGCACACACACAGTGAGAGAGAAATAACAGCAGACCCGTCTAATAAGTGTTTTCATGTAAATAATAGTTTGTTTTGTGTTTTTTCCACAGACAAACACATTTTTCTACGCCACAGATTTAACACACAAGTATAAACGCTCTCTCAGATGAACTACCAAACGCAACACATTGCACCGTTTCTTTATTTATTTACCAAAAGCTGAGCCAAAAAACAAAGTCCACCCTCTCTAAAGCCTTCAAGAGGGTTAGAAGCAGCCAAGTGATCGAATGCACAGTCAGGTGAAAACATCAACAACTGTTGCTGCCCATCAATCTGGGAAGGGTTCAAGCCCATTTCCAAACAGTTTGAAGTCTTATACAGTGTGAAAGACTATCCAGAAGTGGACGTCCCAGCAAATTCACTCCAAGGTCACAGCGTGCAATGCTCAGAGGAACTGCAGCAAACACAAGAGCTCATCCCGGCAAGAGTTAGCATGCTCAGCTTTAAAATTCACCACATTATAAAAAAAGGCTGAACAAGTACGACTTTTTTTGGAAGGAAAAAATAAGATAAAGGAATACAACAACGTCCTTTGGACAGACAACACCAAAGCAGAGATGTTTGACCATAAACCAGCATATCAGCACAAACAGCCCTAATCAGCTGCCAAGTGTAGCGATGATTTGGAGTTACAGCCATAGGTCCTGGGTTTCTAGCAGCCTAGCAGCAACACCTCTGTATACCAAAGAGAGAACATGAAGCCATCAGCCTGACACCTGAAGTGTGACTGAAACTGGGTCCTACAACAAGACAAAGGTCCCAAGCACAGCTGCAAGTGTTCAACAGAACGGCTAAAAAAGAACAGGATCGAGGCGCTGCAACGGCCCAGTCACAGTCCAGGCCTCAGCCTAATTGAAATGCTGTAGCGGGACCACAGGAGAAGTTTCTATAAATAAATGCATGCCTGCAAAGCTCAGTGAGCTGAAGCATGTAAGGAACAGTGGGCCAATGATGTGAGAGGCTGATAAACAAACAGCAAATGATTACAACAAAGTATTATTGCTGAAGGTGTTCTACAAGCTACTGAATCACGAGATCACCTCCCCTGCCCCGTAAGCTGGAGAGGAAAACATGGAGGACTGACAGCTGTTCTGCTTTCAGAGCGATCGTCCCGATGCAGCCTTCTGCCTTGTTTTAATATTAGATACCAAGTCTGATGCTGAGAGGGGGCAAAAGGACAAATGGACACAGACGGTCGTCACAGAGAAACTGCAGCCTGGCTGATAACCTGAA